CAAAGGTATCACAATCACCAGGCAGCGGTAATTGTTCTGTTACATTAACAGCATGGAGTATTCAGAATCCTTACAAACTGGAGGAGTGTATATTTTGAATTGCAGAAACATTGCGAGATGCAATTGGATGATCGAACGCTATGTATAACTACTATATGAACAGTTTGTGGCTTCTGACAGTAGACATTGAATCCATCTACTTACTGCATTGTTCTATACTTTTACCATCACAGGAAACAGGCAAGTACTCATCTAGCTGTTTTATTAACCTGGATGAATTGCTACTTGTATTAGTCAAACAAAGCACGTGTTGTCAGATAGGTATAAACAGAATAATGAACTACTTTCCAAGTAACCATGTTCTGTTAACTGTTACACATGTTAACGCGCGTTCGGTTGGCAATAAATGGTCGAAAAGTGGGATGACGGCCTTGGTTACAAATACGGAAATCTTGCTAGTAAAAGAAAAGTGTTGCCCGTCTAAAATACTACATTCAGAACTGAGTGTAGATGATAACTTACTGCAACATTTCAACCGGAGTCACAATAGAGGTATGGGATGTATTGTCTATGTCAATAACCCTACCAATGCGATAGAATTGGAACACAGTATACTAAGTACAATACCAGACTCGTGATGACTGATATTATGCAGCATTACTTATAAGATACTTGCACGATCTATATATAGGACACTGAACCTAAAACTTGAAACAGATATAACATTTTCCAAAATTTTCGTACATGTTTCCATATCAAATGTTGGTTTCAAATTGGTTGTTATTGACTTCAATTTCACTAAAATCAATTAGGAAACAGGTAATTATCCCCACAGATGTGGAATATCTAGCAGTGCTTTTGCAAACTTTAATTAAAAGCAACCTACTGACCTCAACAATTTGACACTTATTTTCAGTACCTGCATGAATATATATCTAACTGCTAAAATGTATCTGAAGCTATAAAACATCATAAGACTCCAAAAGGTGTAGAAACTAACGGTCTTCCCTTTATATTCCTTAGGAGATGTGGGGATGACAGGCCGCTCATACTTCTTACGATATTCAGTATATCATTATATGCAGACGTATACCCGAATAACCGTGAGATCAAGTGCACTACAAGACTGAGGACAGAGCAAATTCAGCTAACTACAGAACCATAAATATCAGTTCATTTTTTTACGAATAACAGCCGTTAAAAACAGTGCCTCATATTACTTACCAACTCAAAAGCTTATTTCTAAATCGCAACGTGGTTTCGTAACTAGTAGGTCGTGCATAACTCTGTGATGACATTAGGTTTTAAATACACAATCCTTAAATCTCAACATGGGACAGTTGGGGAGATAGACATTAAGCATTCAACGTGGAGTAAAACCCGACGGTAAAGAAGGCGGGAACAATGGATTGAATTAATAGCAGTCATTCGGTTGGTTATTCTATTGAAACCCATCTCCCCTCAATCAGTTGATCTAAATCATTTCTTGGTTATCTGTATCAAATTATCAACGTTATATCAAGGTCATCAGCACCTAAGAGCGTAACTAGTATAGTCATGCAAAGGATTGTGTTAGGGTATTTTACATCGACAGCATTTAAAGCCGCTGTAACCTAGGAAATAACTTCTTGTACGCTGATGACTTGAAGGTAGTCTATTCATGTCCCAGCGATGAGGCATGCAATACAGCCACTTTTGCACAATAAGAATAAGGTAACAGTATGGTGTAAAATGCACCAAATTCAGTTTATTTTTAACAAATGTAGCTGGTTTAGTATCAGATGCAGCAACCTGGGACTCCATTGGTATGTCAAAATCCGGATGTGAGAATACATTACACCGTGGTTTAAGATACTCGAATGACCTGAATTGTTCGGAACAAATAACATCAAGCAACTCGAATGGATGTATATTTATGGGTTTTATAGTTCGTAAATTATACGAGTGTGAGTTTAAGCTAATATTATCATATAAATCTCAACGGTGTTTGAAATCATTAGACAATAAGAAGCGGCAACTACAGTTAATTAACAGAGAGCACAGATCTTAAGGCTATAAGCATATCGAGCGAATACGAATCAGAGAGGTGAATATGTGTGTATGCGAGCAAACATAGAGGCGAATTTATAGTCAAATGGAATAAGACTCAGCTAAGCAAGGCAAAGGCTAATAATAGGATCCAAGTACATATATACATATGGAAGGGAATGACTCATCGAGCGATAATTAAGACACCAATATTTAAGCTAGAGAGAGATATGTGCGTAGGTTGTCATGTGATCATGAGTGCATATTTATACAGGTATGGTAGTGTTCATAATAGTACAAAGAAATATGTGAATTGTTACTGTTCGAATAAGATTGTCTGTTAAGTTAATAAAAGAGCTTAAAAAAGCGTAACCATAATCGAAATTGGTTGAGGGATAGTTGCTATAAATAATATTCAGTTATTATTTTATGTACTGTTCCTTTCAACGACGACGGGAGCTTAAGCTACTTGTCTTCACCCTAAATTCTAGGTTTTATTAGTGCGTGAATGATGCAGCTATTTTTCCAGAAAATACGTTACTACTTTATATTTCTTCACATAGACAGTTATCTGAGATGATCAAGCTTAAACTACATTTTACACGATTTAATAGCAAGAACACCTGTTTGAATTCAAGGTGCTTATCAGCTTCAGTAAACCGCCTATCTTTTCATGACCATCAACTACCTGCCAAACACGTGTGTAAATGCGATGAATTTAACTGATGTGGGACCCAGTGCACAATTCAGACGGTCGAAAGCCGATTTCAACGTGTGTCTTTTACTTCAGATGAATGAATGATTATGAATTACACATTGCTAAACAGCTGAATTAGTCAATATTTTATTTCTTACATCATCTTACTTCTGATCGTATAACTGAACTATTAGTATTTATTTGTGATAAAGCACACGTTAAATATATGTAAAGATAAGAGAATTAGGTTTTAAAACGCTTTGTATTAAGATTATCCTGATTATATAATCAGAGTTTAGTATCAATATTGTGAGCTATTTTCAATTAAGATGTTAACCAAAGCTCATTGGGACTGTGTGAAAATCATCAGTTAAAAAATATTGAATGCTGTATCATTGGTTATTTTTGAACCGGTTATCGATATTAACGACCGTAACCTTGAGAACAAATTAACATACCAGCATTAAGGCAGTAGAATAAATTCTACATATTTGCTCCAAGGAGTTAGATGATTATATTTTTCAGTCATTGTTGTTTAGGAAATTTTCATAAAGTTTTGAATTAAGATTATTTGTAATGATTTTATGATAAACAGGTTTGCATTCATGTTGTAATCGCTTCGGTGAAGTCCTTAGTTAGAAGTCTCGATGTTATGGATTGGAACGTTCTTTCAACCTAATTTGTCAACATGAGATCAACAACTCTGTTGTAAAACGTGATGGCATAAACATTCTCGCTTATTCCGCACAGCAGATCTATGAAATTAATCTTAGAGACCATATATATACTTAACCAAAGTTACTTAATATCCTAATTTGCCTTATACTTTGGAAGAAAGTGATTAGAAATTTATTTCAAAGGGGAATTTTATGTAAACAGTTACTCAGCTTTAGAATCAGACTATAATTTTTTTGATAACTCAAGTAACTAATAAGAAGTTTATTTTTACAAGTTTCATTCATGATGTATCTGAAGAGTTTCCTGAATAGATACAACTCCTGAGGATTCTATTTTAAATATTTAAAGATTTCATCATACATCAAGGTACACAAATATATTTGACGTATAACTGCAAGTTTATTTACAAACAAAATTGGTAAAAACCAGATGTTTAATACAAGAATTCATATTGGCATAAGAGATCACTAAATATTTGTTGACATTTCCGTTCTAACTATTTGGTACTACATAACTTTCTAATGTTGGGTAAAATTTTTTAATAAGTTGAATTTATCGATGAATATAAAATAACTTGGTAGTTGGGAAACCTATCCACCGCTGAACTACTATTCATGTTGCTCAAAACCTAACTGTCTTAAGGAAGATTTTAGAGTTTGACTCTTCAGATGAATAATTTGTATCAATGAATTGTTTTTAGAACTGTAAGGTAGATAATTTCGAATAATTGTGTGAAACAATCCACTAGGTGATCAATCGTGTCAGGATCGTAAAATATTATGAATCAAAACCGATCTCTTTCATTTCATTTATAACAAAGTTAATATATGCTATTGATCAGCCAACAGACAAACATTAAAATTAATCCATTTTTATCCTTAAAAATAGACAGTTAATCATTAGGAAATAGATTATTATTTCTGGTAAAACATAATTCACTTACAAACAAATAATATATTTTGTAATATCCCATTGAGTAGAAAAATTAAATGTTCTGACGTTTCGTGACTCAGTGTAAGTCACTTCTTCAGATAATAAATAACCAAATCTTGATAGAATTTTTTTCTCTGAACTAGACGGTTTAGTCATGGAGCTTTCATCATTCTTCTGAACGACATCATCGTCAATACAAACTTCATCCACCTGAGCTACAAATGTTCTTCATCATCTCAAATAACCAATTCAAAATTAATTCAAGTTTTAATAGTAAAACGGAACAACATGAATATTACAAATATATTATTTATTTATAACAATCTGAAGGGGTTTTGTGGAGATTTTAGAGATTTCACTGATTTAAATCATGAGTCCATTGAAACTAGACCACCACAGAAAACCTGGAAGCACTGGACGGCCGTTTCGTCCTAGTATGGGATTCCTCAGCAGTGCACACCGCACCCCGCGAGATTCGAACCCAGGATCCATCAGTCTCGCGCCAGGTACTTAACCAACTAGACCACTGAGCCGGGATCCAATCTACCCAATTCTCAATTTATTCAAAATTATCCAGTCAAACCTTGGTAATGATACCTTTATGTCACTTACATTCATATAGAGTTATTTCGTTTGTTTTTTCTAACACATAAAATTACGCAAATATCACGAAATGTTTATTACATGGCATTAAAATCAGCCTCATAATGACATAATAACTTTGTTTCCAGTGTTAATAATATTAAAAATAGTGCACAAATAATCAATGATAAGGAACTACATTGAATAGTAATATTAAATCATTTTAAATGTTACACAATAATTGAATAATTGATTAGATAATTTTTAATTAAATGATTGATTGACTGATTCATTCTTTTTCTTTTTTTTCTCTTTTTTTGTTTTAATAAATCGAAATAAATGATTAAAATCGAAAAAAAGGAAAATTTCATAAAAAGAATAAATCAAATAATCAATTATTCAACGTGAAACTATCATATTCTCATTGATTTACAAGTAAATATCTTACAGCTTTGAAATAATATTATTCACCCCCCTTTTCTCTCTCTCTCTCTCAACTACGGTGAGATAATACTGTTTTCTTTTCTTTTCTTGTTTTGGTTTTATTTTATTTTATGAACATGAAAAATAAAAGGAAAAAGAAAACAACCTCTTAGTTATATAATGAATAATTGAGAAACAAAACCAAATGTTAGTTAACTGAATAAAAGAGAATGAAAAAAAACTAAAATGAAAAATAATTTATTTAACTGAAGAGAAAAAGAGAACGAGAGAGAGAGAGAAAATAAAAATTAAAAAAACGTATTAAATTACAGTAAATTTAAAATGGTTAATGTTTTATTATTTTATTTTAAATTATCAACATTTTATTGATTTTCGATATCAATTCAAAGACAATGTGTTCATATTTATAATATAATATATATGGTAGATATTTATTTATTAATTCGTTGCTAAATGAAAAAAAAATGGATAAGAATTCAATTATCGATCGTTATTTGTATTAAATTTATAAAACACTGAGTCGAAATAAATGAAGCTTTAACCATATTTTAGTAGGTATGTATTGGTATCTATGTAAATTCTTTTAAAATTGTTTAAATTAAATCATTCATAAAACGTTTAAATGATTGATTGAGTTAATTTTATCAAACTAAATAATTAAAGTTGTTGAATATTTTGTGAAAGAACAAATTGTTTCTATGTACGATTATTATTATTATTACTTTTTCCATGGAGATAAGATAATGTTTTCAAATATCATTCATCATGTTTTATTTTTTTGTTAACGGATCTATATGAGGAAAATGATGAAGAAAAAAAATGTTTTGTTAATCAAACAAAAACACACATACAAATTGGATTATTTATTTATTTGGTTAATTGATTTTTCTAAGTTTTGTTATCGGTTTTTTGATTTTCTACTAACACATCCACAGATCAATGATTTTCCTTTATTCTTTGATTTATTACCATTTGTTGTCGGTTGAACGATTAAAATCTGTTTTGGTTGATCTTTCTTCTTTTTACTTAATATTGACGTTATTGTTTTTGATTTTGGTTGATTTTCTGTTATGAAAACAAAAAAAATTGGAAATATAAATTGTACGTTAAATATAATTTATGTCTTAACTACTCAAAATCACAACAACAAAAAACATGAGTCAATTCAATATGAATAAATAAATGTCCAAGTAATCTTTGTTTAAAATTGTGTGATTAGATCAGATTTCGATGACATGAAGCTTGGTAATTTCAACGTGAATTGTTGAGCAATTGATTAAATTCATTGGGGTGAAAATGATATATAAAATTGATTTATTTCAACTGTCTGTGACTTATATTCATATTTTGAGAAGGAGTAACAATGTAACTTTGTTAGTCAGTTATTTCTGTTGGTTGAAGAAGTTTAATTGTACGGAATTGTAAATGTTTGTTTACATTGTAAGTTATTGATTAAATGATATTAAATACTAGTTGATTCAGTTTATACTATTTTAACTGTAAATAAATCATATGAAAGGTAGTATATTTATATATCATTTTGATTTATTACGTGAGTTGAATGTATAAAGATATATGCATTTTAAAAGAAAGACATATAGTATCGCCTGATTGGTATAACTTAAAATAGACACTGAAATAGGTAAAACGTTTACTTATCAATATAGTGTATTTAATCTCATAAATTGAACAAACACTCAGAGTGTTTTAAAATTTCGCAAACCATAGGAGTTTGTCTGACACACTTGACTGTTTATAATATTACTACCTATTTTAATTTAGTTAGTGTGTACAAATACCTAACATAAATCTACGACTCATCTACAGTTTACTGTTCAAATCATATCACGATTACTTGAAATGTGATGTTAAAAGTCCATTTAGTATTAAATTTGAAGTATTAATTAGTTTTGGTAAACCATTCATAACATAGAATGGAAAATATAGACATTTAAGACAGCCACATATATATATTCAACTCACAATAAACCAATACTTTATTAGTATGAAAGACAAAATTAATAGTTATGTTTAATAATGTTATTTATGATGTGATCTTATGTTCGATTGGAAAGAATTAAAAAAGATAAACATCACCTTGTTTAGAAAACAAGAACCCTATAAGGTTAAACTATTTAGGATTTTATTTAAACCGATTTATTTAATGCTAGTGTTTCACTAATTAGTAGACGTCATTTATGGTTCTGAGCTTCAGCACAATAAAATATTTTGCTTTCAGGAATCACATGTGATTATAAGTTGGCTCTAGGTTTTGTTTTGAAACTAGTTACATGAGTTTTGATTCCTTTCAATTATTGCTTTACTTCACACTAATAATCTTTTGTATAATGACCAGTTTTGAGTTCATCAAAGGTTAGGGATATTTACAACGTCGAATACAGTTGATGATACATTAATCGGTTATCTTAACATCTAGAAAGCGATATATTTAATTGGCTAGATTTAAAAGTAAACAATCTAAAAGTACTCAAAAATAAGTAAGAAGTCAGCAAATTTTTTGTTTACAAGATGTTTGAGTTTTAATGGTTTATTCAGTTTATAACTAACATATCTGTTTTGTTAGTTTATTATCTTGTTATTTTAAATTATTATAACAAACTGTCAAATCATCAAATTATAAAACTTAATCTAGTAAAAATGAAACACTAACTTAAGATGGATAGTGGCTAGTAGTGGAATCCAGGATGCGCGTCCCATCCTATTTGGGACTCGTCAGCTGGATGTACCTGTATCTCAGAGTTGATGTTCACTCCAGGACTCAAACTCAGTACAATTCACTTCAAACACCATCTCGTTATCCACTTAGCTACTCGCGCTATGGATTCCACTGCTAGCCACTATCCATCTTTGTTTAGAAAGCTTTTGGCTTAAGACTAATATCGAGGCAATCTGCACAGGATTCACATATGCCAACATGGGACTGATCAATTGAAATCCTAAATAACAATGGGAAGATATAAGTAAAACAACACCAAGTGAATTGAAACTGTAAGTTGTTTACATTTATTACAATTCCATGAAATAAATTGAATTTGATGTAGAAGGAAAAACAAAAGAAATTTTTAATATATAAATAAATAAACTAATTTTTTCAAATTAATTTAAATCTAATTCTATAAAGTTACTGTTATGGCCCAAAGCTGCTAATCAGAAGCAGCGAATTATCGATCAGACCAAGGATGCGTAAAATATGTGCAAGCAGCTTAGAGTCCTGATTGGTCCTGCTTTCCGCCTAGCCCAGACAGTTAAGTCCAGAACACCAGTCTCAGCTTCTGCAATATAAAATCCTTATATTTCAAACATACTGAGTTTATATACCAATCAAACAGACCACAACGTACCAATAAAATATGAAATAATATTTGTACAAGAATTAGCCAGATGTGGCTGTGAATAAGGGAGGTAGTAATTAATATATTGGGTATAACTCAAGAATAGTAAAACGTATAATAACTGTTCATAAGTCAAAATAAAGCTTATAATAAGAGGAATATGAATATGCATACTTTAGCTATTTAACAATTATACAATAGAAATATACGTTTAGTATTGGTCCATCAATAGATCCCAAAAGTCACCATTCATTATTCTTGTCGGGACATAACAGTTACTGATTATATTCGTTATATTATTCCTTTTTTAACCACCTATATAAATCAAATTTTTCAAAAGCATATTACGTAATCATATATCGATCGGATAATTCAAATATTCCAAAAAACAAGTTTTTTTTCTTCTTTAAAACTTATATTAGCCATTAATAAATTAAAACACTCGTTCAAGAGAGATAATCAAGGTCTTATTATTTTTTTCTTTTTCTTTTTCATATGTTCAATGTAGATTATTGGTTATGATTTGGTTAAATGTACACAATTATGAAATACAAATTTATTAAAATTAAAGGAAAAAAATCTATAAAAGACGTTTTAAATTATCACATTGAAATTATGGTTTATTTATATAAATTATTTTCCTTATTTTTTTTAATTTTTTATTTTTTTGGTTTGTTAACACTTGCTTCGTATCATTATTGATTGTATAGAGTTAAGATATTTCGATGTTAAACTAATCAATAAAAATTGAAGTGGAAAAGTTTTCAAGCATAAAGAAAGCAGTTGAATCCATGAGTTAATTGAAGCTAGACCACCGTGGAAAACCTGGAAGCACTGGACGACCGTTTCGTCCTTTTGTGGGACTCCTCAGCAGTGCGCATCCACGTTCCCGCACCCCGCGGGATTCGAACCCAGGAACCGTCAGTCTCGTGGATGAGTACTGCTGAGGGGTCCCACAATGGGACGAAACGACCGTCCAGTGCTTCCAGGCTTTCCATGGTGGTCTAGCTTCAATCGACTCATGATCTCAACTGTTGAAATTACTACAATCTCCACAAAACCTCTTCTGATAATAAATAAAACAATTATGTTTTTGTGACCAATTAAAAAAATGATATAAAAGCATGATTCGAATTGGTTGAAAACTTATGTTTGATTGATTGATTGACTGAATGATTCATTCATTCATTCATTACTTACTTACTTAGGCCTGTTACACCCAATGGAGTATAGACCGCCAACTATCATTCTCTAATATCAAGATCAGTGTTACGTATGCATGTTTTAATTTTAATCATATATTTGCCTTCAAGTTTGATATTCTTTAACTAAAGTGATGTTGTCTCTTCATGAACATATTAGGAAGTCATTGTATACTCGATTATTAGTTGCACTACAACTTAGTGTTAGCCAAGTAAATGTAGAGGTTTGAAGTACGACAATTAACTTCGCTATCGTACACTACAAATATTCAGTTTTGAGGATATCAGAAATATTGACGTTTTTCTATAGATTTTCTACAATAGTTTTCCATTGTGGACAGTCGAAACTGATTTTGTTCAGTCTCTATTGGATGAATGAAACGTTGAGTATCATCAATAAGACAATATAAACCTTAAGAAATAAAAACGAACAACGTTCCACTTGGACAAGTTGTATGACTTTCAAGACTCAGTAACCAATCAACGTTTCAAGTAGTTACTCTGAGTTTCGGTGTAAATTACAGACTGAGATACAGACACATTCAGCTGATATGTTTCAAGCAGAATGAAATTTGAATTTTCTTACTAAACACCACGCCAAATATAATTACGAAAACTGGTTTGAAAAATATAAAGCCCAAGTCTATAAATGATCTTATCTTAGAAAATGAATATTTACACAGTCACCTAAGATTTACCTAAAAGATTATATAAAATTTCAATCAAGAGTGTTATTGAAGGGTAATAAAAAGCTAATTGGACTATAATTTCTTGTGTTTAAGTTCCACCTTTCCATGAATCGGTTTTCGTATATATATACTGGAAAGCATTTTTGCTAAGGAGTTGTATACTATTTGTGTAACTGCTCATTGAACTTATACAACAGTTACATAACTTAATCAAATCTCATTTCCTTATGTAACATTTATATATCCCTATTTACTTCTATATAAATATATGTATGTGCAGCTGTGCTTTCCAAAATTTATATCTTATAACTTCCATAGTAACGTTAAAGGACATGAATAAGTTTAAGAAAAAAATGTTTGTAAGTGGTTTCATTCCCATAGTAACATTAAATTGAATAAATTTATTTTACATAGATCATATATTGTAGGTGAAATGACTTTTAATGGCAAAGATAGTATTATATACAAAATTAGGTAGCAGTTAGTTAAAAGTTTCTCATTTTTGAAGTCAATGATGAAATAAAATGTTCCACAGAATAACAATCTACGACAGGAAGTTCAGAAACCAGTAGTGAACAACTTTCACTTCCAGTCTGTCCACTGGAATAACGTGTTGTACTCGTGTATAGGAAGATTAGCTATCAGTATGCGCTATCGAATTACACAACTAACAACAAAGTCAGAATTTTAATAACTAGTAAACACTTCTTAGATAGATTAACTACTAAGTAGTAAGCAATATCACATTTATTCAGTTCATAGTGATGATCTAACCTTATTAATTAGGTTACGATGTGGCCACCAGTTTGAACAATGTCTGT